AGATACCACAGGCTCTGCAAGGTCAGGACTGTATCTGTCCTATTTACATCCATCCCTAGGGAAGGCCCAGAGTGACACAAACCTCTCAGACATCCATAAGTCAGCCAGCATGGTGCTGCTTGCCTGGTTTCCGAGGCAGCAAGAGCTGTATGGCAACCCCATCTTAAGGTGAAAGCGTGGTGGGCAGAGGGAGGCTGGTGCTGCAGTTCAGTTGGTAGAGTGCTGGCCTACCATACGTGAGGTTTGCTTTTCCTGAGGCAAGCCTGGTTCCGAGAGGAAGCAAGACAACTGACCCCACTCTTTAGACCCTTGCTTCCCTTCCTGCAACGGCATCAAGCATGGGAGGGGCTGGGATACGGCTGACCAGACCTATGTGACAGCTGGAAATCTGCAGCCTGAGAGCCGTCGCACACAGTAAACACGCATGCACGTGTGCACACAGAGACTAAGGCAGAGGCCTTTGAGGCCAGCCTGGACTACATGATGAGACACTGTCTGCCTCAGAAAAAAAGAAAGAAAAAAGAAAAGAAAAAGAAAAAGAGGGTCTTAGTCAGTGTTCTATTGCTGTGAGAGACACCACAGCCACAGCCACAGCAGCTCTTACAACGGAAAGCATTTAATTGGGGCTGGCTTACAGTTTAGAGGTTTCATCCCTTATCATCATGGCGGGGAGCATGGTGACATGCAGGAGAAGTGGTTGAGAGTTCTACATTCCAATCAGCAGGAAGAGAGGAGACAACACTGGCCCTGATCTGAGCACTTGAAACCCCAAAGCCCCCCAAAGTGACACACTTCCTCCAACAAGGCCACAAGTGGCACCGAATCCTAACCCCTCAAGTAGCACCACTCCCTGTGGCCTACGGGTCCAGTCCTGTTCAACCACCTGAGTGTTTTAGGTAACCATGGAGAGGAGAGGCAGCCTGAATTCTAAAGGTAAATGGGATGAGGAGCAATCCACCTGCAGGAGATGGGGCAAGGATGGGTGCAGACATCAGATAGCATCGTAGGAGGAATTCCTGTAGGCTCATGGTTACAAGAGAACAAATGAGCTGGGCTTTCTACCAAGGCAGGGACTGCAGGGTGAGACTGGGACTGAGTGAAGCCCTGAGTTCAGTCCCCAGCCCTGTGTCAACTAGGCGTGGCGGCACTCTGTTAGAATCCCTTGGCTACACAGTAACTCAATCCTGCCTCAGGCTCCCAAGTGCTGGGATGGCAGGCATCAGCATACTTGGTCCCGGGGGACTTCACACACCTGGGTGCTGCCTAGCCAGGGTCCGTATTGATGACATTTCTTATTTTTATCTCAGACTATCTGAAAAATGCAACTTAAGGGAAGAAGGGCTTATTCTGGCTCACAGTTCTAGGTGGTGCTGTCCAGCATGTCAATGAAGGCATGGCAGCGGGAGTGTTACCTGTTCACACTGCAGCCAGTCCACAGGTGCTCAGCTCAGTTTCTCCACTGTATTCAGTCAAGAGCCCCCACGCCATAGGATGGTGTCCCCCACTTTCATGAACCCAGTCTAGAAACCCCCTCATGTGTGTACCCAGAGTCTTGTCTCCTGGGTGGCTCTAGCTAGATTCTATTAAACTGACTATGTTACCCATCATGGGGGCCTTACTCCCCGGGTCCATCTGCCCTCAGACCCAGCTCAGCAACCCAGGCATTGCACCGAATGTTCTAAGTGTGGACCTCATTGCCGTGGTCTCCACACAAGGCTCACGGTCCAGACAGGGTCACAGCATATCAAACCAGAGGCAGCCAATATAATGGAGCTAGTAAAAACTCCTTGGGATGAGTGGAACCATCTGGGGTAGGTGAGCAAGTGCACACGATATGGCTTTCCTGGGAATTACACAAAGCAGACAAAGAGCATCTCAGGAGGGATACAGAAACCCAGACAGAGTATGACCAGCAGATGGCACTCTGTGTGTGTGCGTGCGTGTGTGTGTGTGTGTGTGTGTGTGTGCGTATGCATGCATACTTTATGTACACGGAAGTCACGAAGGTCAGTACTGCACCTTGGATAATTCTGGCCACTTATTTAAGGGAAGGTGCTAGGGAAGAAGCAGAGGCTGAAACACAGGACAAGCATCCATCATGATTTGCTGAGTCGAAAACTAAGAACCAAGTATTCCTGTGGCTGCAGTCGCTGTTTTATCTGGCCACTGAACACGGAACCCCACAAATGATAGGCAAGGGCTCTACCACTGAACCACACGCCCAGCTCCACTGGGGGACCCTGGGGAGGCTCACCAACACTGGGCCACACCTGCAGCCCCTCACTGAACTAAACATGTATTATTGGGTCCAAGCTTCATCATTTCCTGGTCTCTGGACCCACACTGTCTGGAACACCCAGATGTGGCCTTTACACGTCTCCCAACGTTTCTCAGTCCCATCAACGGGGACTGGTGATCCCAGCAAACACCTGTATTTCCAGCTACTCAGGAGGCCAAAACGGCAGGCTTGGCTCCAGGTCAAGGCCAGTTTGAACCACAAAGTCTCGAGAGCTTAAAGTCTAATCATCTACAATTTTGTACACATAGAAAAGGAGATTGAGGGTTGGAGAGATGGCTTCACACTCACCTCACACGCACTTGCTGCTCCTGCAGAGAGCCGGGTTCAGTTCCCAGCATCTAGTTCCAAAGGACCCGATGCCCTCTTCTGGCCTCTGTAGGTACCACACACATGGTGCACATACACACATACAGATAAACACTCCTACACACAAAATAAATATCTCTCAAAGAAGGAAGAAGGGGATGAATGGATGTGTGTTGAATGGCTAACACAACTGAACTGTTCTCAGACTTTCCTTGCTGTTTCTCCTCAAGAGGAGTACAGGTGACTCTCATCAATGAGAAAGAAAGGCTTGTGAATGCTTGTTCTGTTTGTGGTTCTGACTTGGTGCCAGCCAGGCTTGGTTCCAGGGAGCATTCCCTGAGGAGCCTCTTCCCTCCACAGCCCCTCTCTCTGTCCCTCACACTTGAGGTCTCAGTCCAGGTTCTGACCACTGAACCTACTGCAGTGAGTGGGGGTTCCTGGGTTTCCTTCTTAAGGGCTACAGTGCAGGCGGGGTTAAGACTTAGTCTCACTGCATAGCTCAGGGTGGCTTAAACTCACAATAACCCTCCTGCCTCAGACTCCTGTGTGCTAGAATTATATGCATGAGTCACCAAGCTCAGCTCTCTCCGCTTTCGTCTCTCCCCTAAAACCACAACATTTCTATGAACTGTGCTCAGGAAATGCGGTGTGGCATGGTGGCAGAGCACCCCCTTAACACAGTGAGGAGATGGGGGTGTGGCTCTGTGATCAGATGAACTGGAGAGCCCTCCAGGCCCTGGGTTCCCCAGCACCACGAAAGAGAGGGTGCCCCAGACAGGAGTTCTCAGAAGGGATGATTTCAGACTCATTCTGCTGCAGAGGGAAGCTCTGCTCTCATAAGCCAGGGCCACACAGCCACGTGGGCACCTTCCACCCATGGAGGATACAGCCAGGACATCCTCCAGAGCAGGCAACCCTGATCTGGGCATGGAAGGGTTGGGGAGCTGACCAGGAGAGGAACTGGGCTAGCACTTGGAGGCCGAGGAGGAGTGAGTAGTTCTGGGGAGCTAGAACATGTGATAAAGAGAGCAAAGAGGGGAAGGAAGGTGATGGCAATGGAGGGTGCCGTGCTTGAAGCCAGCGCCATGGCTCTTACAGGGATCCTGTTAGGCTAGGATGCAAGGTGCCTGCCTAGCATGCAGTAAGCCCAGGGTTCCAGCCACAGCACTGCATAAACCAAATGCTAATGAATGCCTGTAATCTCTACATGAGGTAAGGGAAGGCAGGAGGATTTGGAATTCAAGTTATCACACCCTGTGATATCTTGATATCAATGCCAACCTAGGCTACATGAGACCTTGTCTCATTTTTTTTTTAAGTTTGTTTGAGACATCAGTGTCCCTGTCCTCTATGTGTGCAGCTTGTATAATGTAGAATAGTGTAGTAAGCGGAGCAGGGCGGGGACAGGTCTATGGGTCTAAACACCCTCGCAGGGTTTGGTGGGGGGATGAGGGGGGGAGAGGAACTGGGATAGGAATGGAGAGGACAATACATAAAGTGCAGATGCTGAGGGCGGGCCTCCATGGCTGAAGCCCTTGAGCTGCGAGCTGCAGGGGCACTTCAGAGAAGGCTTTGGGGTAGTAGCCAGGACTCCGCTCCCTGGGGTGGACTGCCCTCCAAGCCCATGTGAGCAACAGTGGGGACCCTGAAGTGAGGAGAAGCCAGTGCTCAAGGGATTCCAACAGCCTGAGGCTGTGCACGGTCTCTTGTGGCTAACAGCCTCTGCCTCCTCCCTTCCTGGGGGAATTGACCTTGGACAATGGTCAGGTGACAGGTCCCATAGCCAGGAAGAGGAGGCAGGTCTGGGAGAGAGGACCAGACGGGGCTGTTCATTACCCCCACAGCCTCCATTTCCGTATCTGTTCATAAAAACACAAGAGGCAGGGAGGCCCGCCCAGCTCAGCACCCAGCAAGCCTCCTCCATGTGGAAGCAGAGGAATTACAGCACTGTTGAAGGGGGAAAGGCAGGATGTGTGGAAAGCATCATGGGCAAGAAGTGTGAGGAAAGTCAGGCTTGGAGGCACAGTCCTGTCTCCCAGTTAGTCAGAAGCCCAGAGTACCAAGATCAAGTTTAAGGCCAATCTCAGGAACTTAATGAAACCCTGTCTCCAAAGAAAAAGTAAAAAGGCAGCTGGGGATGAAGGTTAATGGTAGAGTACCTGGCTAGAACCCCCCAGTGAGGGGCTGGGGCGTGGCTCAGTGTAGATCACCCGCTTACAGTCCCCCCGTGAGGACTATGCAGCTCAGTCACAGAGCTCCTGTCCAGCATCTTGGAGGCCCCGGGTCTTGTCATTAGCAACACATACTGACTGCTGAGTCTCATTCCCCTGCTGTGAACTGGAGAGGTCTGCTGCTCCCAAGCTTGTCAGCCACACTGACACTAGTCTCCCCGCAGGTGATCCGCACAGACACATTCAAGCACCTCCGGCACCTGGAGATCCTGCAGCTGAGCAAGAACCTGGTGCGCAAGATCGAGGTGGGCGCCTTCAATGGGCTGCCTAGTCTCAACACACTGGAGCTCTTTGACAACCGGCTGACCACGGTGCCCACACAGGCCTTCGAGTACCTGTCCAAGCTCCGGGAGCTGTGGCTGCGCAACAACCCCATTGAAAGCATCCCTTCCTATGCCTTCAACCGCGTGCCCTCACTGCGCCGCCTGGACCTGGGCGAGCTCAAGCGGCTGGAGTACATATCAGAGGCGGCCTTCGAGGGGCTGGTGAACCTGCGCTACCTCAATCTGGGCATGTGCAACCTCAAGGACATCCCCAACCTCACAGCACTTGTGCGCCTGGAGGAGTTGGAGCTGTCGGGGAACCGGCTGGACCTAATTCGCCCCGGCTCCTTCCAGGGCCTCACCAGCCTGCGCAAGCTGTGGCTGATGCACGCCCAAGTGGCCACCATCGAGCGAAATGCCTTTGACGACCTCAAGTCGCTGGAGGAGCTGAACCTGTCCCACAACAACCTGATGTCGCTGCCACACGACCTTTTCACGCCCCTGCACCGCCTGGAGCGCGTCCACCTCAACCACAACCCTTGGCACTGCAACTGTGATGTGCTGTGGCTCAGCTGGTGGCTGAAGGAGACGGTACCCAGCAACACCACATGCTGCGCACGCTGCCACGCGCCCGCTGGCCTCAAGGGCCGCTACATCGGTGAGCTGGACCAGTCACACTTCACCTGCTACGCCCCAGTCATCGTGGAGCCACCCACAGACCTCAATGTCACCGAGGGTATGGCGGCTGAACTCAAGTGCCGTACAGGCACATCCATGACCTCCGTCAACTGGCTGACACCTAACGGCACGCTCATGACGCATGGTTCCTACCGCGTGCGCATCTCGGTCCTGCACGACGGCACGCTCAACTTCACCAATGTCACCGTGCAGGACACGGGCCAGTACACATGCATGGTCACAAACTCGGCCGGAAACACCACTGCCTCAGCCACGCTTAATGTGTCGGCTGTGGACCCAGTGGCTGCAGGGGGGGCTGGGGGCGGGGGTCCCGGGGGTGGGGCCGGTGCCGGGGGCGCGGGTGGCTATACTTACTTCACCACGGTGACCGTGGAGACACTGGAGACACAGCCGGGTGAGGAGTCCCAGCAGCCCCGGGGTACAGAAAAGGAACCTCCGGGGCCCACGACTGACGGAGCGTGGGGCGGTGGCCGGCCTGATGCCGCAGCCCCGGCCTCGGCGTCCACCACAGCGCCGGCCCCACGTTCCTCGCGGCCCACGGAGAAGGCGTTCACGGTGCCCATCACGGACGTAACGGAGAACGCGCTGAAGGACCTAGACGACGTCATGAAGACCACCAAAATAATCATTGGCTGCTTCGTGGCCATCACCTTCATGGCCGCTGTGATGCTGGTGGCCTTCTACAAGCTGCGCAAGCAGCACCAGCTGCACAAGCACCACGGGCCCACGCGCACTGTGGAGATCATCAATGTGGAGGACGAGCTTCCCGCCGCCTCCGCCGTGTCGGTGGCCGCGGCCTCTGCGGTAGCCGGAGGCGCGGGCGTGGGCGGGGACAGCCACCTGGCCCTTCCGGCGCTGGAGCGAGACCACCTCAACCACCACCACTACGTGGCGGCCGCCTTCAAGGCACACTACGGCGGCAACCCAGGAGGCGGGTGCGGGGCCAAGGGCCCCGGCCTCAACTCCATCCACGAACCTCTGCTCTTCAAGAGTGGCTCCAAGGAGAATGTGCAAGAGACACAAATCTAAACCTAGGCAGGCAGGGACGCAGGACGCTTGCCGGGTATGCCCCTGCTTGCCGCGCAGCCCGGCGGCACCCGCCATCCAGCAACAGGAAAGGACCTGGAGATCAGGAGAGGTGGCCCCGCCCTCCGCCTTGCCGCGTCCTCTGTTCACCTGCCCTGCCCACCACCTTCCAGGGGAGAGGAGCTTCTTCGAGGGGTACCCTTTCCCCTCATCCCAACCCTCCTTTTATGGCTCTTTCTTTTTTCCTTCTTTTTTGCAGTTTGACGCCTGTCCTTCCCTCCTACTCCTCCACACTCAAAACACAAGAGACAACTTCACCAGAGCCCAGGGGTCAACTCCGACAGTGTCCCCAACAGCGAGCTCCACTCGCGGCCCTGGTCGGCCCCACCCGCCCCACAGACTCTTTTGATACTGAAGGGAGGTTTGCGTCAATCACTACCTGCTCTGTAATTACTTTAAAAAAAAAAAAAACATGGAAAAAGTAAAAAAAAATTAATTTTTTTGGTCATGAAAGTATTGAAAACAAACAGAGCACAAAGCCACTGTGGGTGGGACCAGCGATGTTGTCCTCTCAGGAGGGGGAGTGGGCACCCCAAAATTAGAGATCTGGGACTCTCCATTCCCAAGATCCCAGAGAGGAACGGCTCACCCAGCACACAGCAGCGCTGTTCCATCTTCCTGGCTGCCCTTCCTGGAATGTGCTGGGGACTTGGCCTCCGCCCTTCTCCTATGTGTCTCTGTCTCCATCTCTGGCTGTCTTTCCGTTCTCACTCTGGTGCCTGCCACCACCACCACCATCACCACACACACACACACACACACACACACAGAGAGAGAGAGAGAGAGAGAGAGAGAGAGAGAGAGAGAGAGAGAGAGAGAGAGGAAGAACAACCCAGAAGGGACCTAGGACTGCAAAACTCCACAGAACTGTGGGATATTGGGGTTCTGGGGACTGCAAGGCCAAGGTGCTGGCAGGGTTGGGCTCCATCCCAGCCTCCCCCAGTTGCTGGGGCCATGCATGTGTGACCCCCCAGAGCAGGAATGCATCACAGTTTATGGGTTTGCACCACAGCAGAGCCTCCCCAAGGGGACCATCTGCAGACACAGCTGTTCAGGAAGTCCACAACTGATGATCTGAAAGTCAGGACCGCCACAGAACTTTCTGGGTGACACTCTTGAGCAAGTGGTTGTGTCCCCATAGGAGAGGCTCCTCCATTTCACACATATCCCTGGCTAGTCAGGAGACAGTTTGTACAAGGGAAGCGCACACAAAATAAGCAGGCCTGGGCCACATGTAAACACATTGTAAGCAGACCAGGGCGCATGGAGGGCAGTCCCTTGCAGGGTCTGCAATCACCAAGGAGAAAACTATGCAGCTAGGCCAGGTTCTGGGTGCTGCTGGAGTAGGACATCAGTGACCCCTCAGAATGGTCCACGTGTCCAAGGTTCAGCCTCCAGAGAGCTAGGGTTGCCCAGGAAGTCTGAGGAGGCCTAGGAAGGCAGAGAGGTAGCCAGAGCCAGCCAAACAGCACATGGACACCTGGCCTGTGGGCACTGAAGGCCCCAGGGTGCACACCTTCACCAGAGATGGGAGAGCAGGAGCCCCCCAACTCCTTTCACCCTGCGTTCCTGCCCCCTTCTCCCTGTCCCCACCTCTTCCCAATGTTTCTACCCCCCACTGTATCTTGTCCTCTCCTCTACCCCACCCCAGCGCTAAGTGGCTTCTTTATCTGACAACCGTCAGGCGTCTGGCCCTATCTCCCTGTCCAGCTCTGTGCTGATGAAGGCCAGGACAGGACTGTTGCGCATGCACTTTGGGTTCTCTCTCCATTTTCCTGCCTTCTCCACAGCCACCTCGGCTAGGATCCTGGTTGCCATGACAACACTGCGGCTGTACCAGGTGGCAATGGGGGCAGGGAGCTGGCCTGCTGCAGCCTGCTATGTCCCATGCCAAGCCTGCCAGGCAGTGGCTGGACTCATCCTGGGAGCACTTAGGAACTCCCCCAGCTATGCAGACCCCTTCTTCATGGATGGGACATGGGGAGGGAAGAGGGGGCAGAGGACCAGGAATACAAAGAGGCAGGAGACTGTGGCCTGGGGAGAGGGGGGCGGGGAGGATGAGTGGTGAACAGCACAGTTAAGGTGAGCTCAAGGGCAATCAGACACTGGGGTGGGGGCAGGACTCTGACCAGGCCGGAGGGCATGGAGGACCACAGGACACTCCAGCCAGACTTTTCCACTTGGGCCTTAGGACAAAAGAGAGATCAAGAGATCTGCAAGGGGCCTGGTGGTTCCTGTCCCCAGTTCTTCCCCTATCCCAAGCAAAATGCAGTTTCCATGACAACCTGCTGGCCAGCCTGAGGAGGGGGGACTGAACATGAGGGATGAAGAGTGTGGGCTGCACAGGAGGCCGTGGAGTGGGTAGTGGGCACACAGGGCCACACAGGCCTAGCTCCCAAGCCACCATGCCAGCCAGCACAGGAGAACAGAGGGCTCACAGAGAAGCACCCCACCCCCACCATCCTGCTCCCTCCCTCTGGTTCCAGTGGAAAGGGTCAAGGGTCAAACTCCAAAGATCATTCACTGCCTCTGCCTGGTAGAGGCAGCATAGCACTGAAGAATCTCCCACAGCAGGACATCACTGTCACCGTGCTCAAGGCCAGAGCCACCAGAATGGTCTCTGGAGGCCCTCTGAGGGTGGGGGTGGTAGGTTATGGCCGCCTAGGTGAGTCAAAACTAGCCTGGGGCCTCCTTTTATGGCCCCATCCCTAAAGTCCAGAAACATCTCTGTTCCTATATCTTTCACCCCAATCTGCCAGCCCAACCTGCCTTCTGCCCTGCCTGCTCACTGGGTGTTCCTCTCTCCAGTTCTGTCTATCGTGTGTGTGTGTGTGTGTGTGTGTGTGTGTGTGTGTGTGTGTGTGTGTGTCACGGTATCTGCCTCTCTCTAGGTCACTGTCTTCTCTCTGGGTCTCTGAGGTATCTCTCTTTCCTATCTCTCCTCTTGGTCTCATCTCTATATGCCTCTTTCTGGGTCTCTGTCTTGTACAACTCTGTGTGTCTCTCTAGGTCTCTGTCCCCCTTCCCTTTCTTTGGTTCTCTCTCTCTCAGGCTCTCTTTCTCTCTCTGGGATTCTGTCTGTCTCCCCACCCCATATCCGTCTTCCCTTCTCTCTCCCCATCCCTCTCTCCAGCTCCCTGAGTGGGGGAGGAGTCTCTACTTTCCTCGGGTCTCTAGCCTTCTCCTTCTCTGCAGGACAATCCCTTGTGTCCCGCCTTCTGGCTCAGGGATCCGAACTGGGCTTAGAACTTGTTTTTGTATGGAACCGTGACCCTGGACGAATGGCAGGGAGCGTGCCCCCTGCCCTGCAGCTCCAAGACCTTACTGCTCTTGAGGAAAGGTCAGTGGCCCACAGCACAGTAGGGGCCTTCCCAAAGTTTCTATCTGCCTCCCATCTCTGCAGCTCAGAGCACATAAACTCCAACACACCCACCATCCCATTTTCCTCCAAACCCTGAGGAGACCTGATTCTTCTCCAAGGCCCTCCATGTCTCCTCTTCCAGGCACCCTGACCTTGTGGTAGAAGTGGCTCATCCAAATATAATCCACGAATCAGGGGTACAGATCCTGCGCCACGCTAACCTCCTGGTGAGCCTCCTCACCCCTCAGCAAGTCCTTTTTTGTGTCGTCTGTATCCTGCCCTACCGCAGTGTTCTGTCTTGGCCTTCCCTCTCTACCATCCAAGGTGGGGTCTCCCTCAGCTCTGGCTGACCAGACCACAGAGCAGCGGCTCATGGAGGCTTCAAACCACTGGGGTCACGCTGTGTTTGTGGCCCGAGGAGCCCTGTGGGGGTCTGAAGACATTAGGAGATTGGATGAAGCCGGAGGCCTCCAGGTGAGAACCATCTTGGCTGCAACCGAGGGAACATGTAAGAGTCTCAGACTCCTGACCCTACCATTGCTTCCAGAGCCTTCGAGTCACCATGGCCACACATCCTGACGGCTTCCGGCTGGAGGGATCCCTGGCTGCAGCACACAGCAGTGGGCCCCGCACAGTGCTCTACGAGGGTCCTGTGCGTGGACTCTGCCCCTTGGCCCCCCGAAACTCTAACACCATGGCAGCCGCTGCCCTGGCTGCCCCCAGTCTAGGCTTCGACGGTGTCATTGGGGTGCTTGTGGCTGACCTTAGGTGAGCAAAGGAAGTAGGTGGCCCAGCTGTGTCAGGCCAGATGGACTAACTACCCTTCCTTCTCTGCCGGCCGCAGCCTCACAGACATGCACGTGGTGGACGTGGAGCTGAACGGCCCCCCAGACCCCACAGGCCACCGTTTCACCGTGCACACCCACAGGGAGAACCCAGCCCAGCCTGGCGCTGTCACCGGCTCTGCTACAGTCACAGCCTTCTGGCACAGCCTACTGGGTGCGGTCAGGCCCCTCCAAGGGTCCCCTGGCCTTTGTATTCTGCAGAACTAACATGTTGGTGTCCCACCCGTTTTCTGTCTTTGCCCACCGTTAGTTTTCACTCCCAGGCTTTTTGGGTCTCTCCCCAGCTCAACTTCTGAGTCTCAGAGACTCTTGTCTCTCCACTCACACCCCGCGCCTCTTTCTGGGTATCCTCTTTGGGTTATACCACACTGCTATTTCCAAAGCCCACGGTCGCCATGGCCGTCTGCGTGTCTGTGTCGTCATTCTAGTCTTTCATTCTCCCCACAGGCTGCTGCCAGCTCCCCTCCAGACCTGGGATCCACCTCTGCTGACAAGTCTTCTCCCCCACTGCCCTTGCTGTCCCCTCGACCACTATGTGTCTCAGTAAACATCAGAATTCTGCCTGCTGTTCTCTCTGGCCTCTGGTTCCTTTCCCCTAAATTACATCACGCCTCAACACATCGTGTATGACAGCATAGCTGCGAGTTCATAAACACACACAAACCAACTTCCTGGAAGCTATCGCGAGAGCCATAGTTACTACATTTCCCAGAAACCTCTAGGCAGCAATGGCCCTGGGGGGTACACGAAAACTGGCTGCGTCCTCCGACGGGAATTGTAGTTCCGCGCTGCAGCGCGTCCCCGGTGGACTTCCGGTCTGTGCGTCCGATTTAGGCGCCCCGTGGAGAACTTCGGGAATCGCAGTCCGGTGCGCACAGGTCGCCGGGAGCTGTAGTCCGTCCCGCCTGCCCAGTCAGCGTGGTTACCACCCGACGGCTGCTCAGGGAATGCGAAAACGGTCGGTCCCAGGGAGCAGAGAGGCTGACGGGGTGAGGGCCGGGAGAGTCCCGTACGGAGGCGGGTGGGAACATGCCTGGTTGCCAGGTGACAGGAAGAGGGGGCTCCTGTTGCTTAGTGACTGGGACAGGGCCTTGTTGCCAGGTGACGGGAGAGAGCACTGGTTATTGACGAGGGGAAGTCTTCCGTTGCCAGGCGACCAGAAGAGACCCTGTTACCCAGAGACGAGAAAGGAGGGGTCCTCCATTACTAGGTGATCAGAAAAATGGACCGGGTTACCAAGAGGGTGGGGTGTCCTCTGTTGCTTGGGAACCAAAAAGTATTGTTTCCTAGGGATAGAAGGGGCGATACTCCGTTGCTAGGTTACGGTGAGTCGTACCCTTTTGCTTAGAGACATGTAGTGGGGATGGGTCTCTATTACCAAGTGAGTAGGAAAGATTCTTTTCCCCCTAGGACTGGGGCATGAAGATGCCTCTAGTTCTGGAGACATGTTAGGTAGCAGGGTCAGGGACCTCGGGTGCTCCCAAGCTGACCCCAGTGCCCATCTCAGTGGCCGTTGATCCAGCTCCTGGGTCCCTAACACCGTCTCCTTGTTCCACCCCAGCAGGAGCCGAGGAGGGTATGTCTCAGGCCCCGGAAGCGCGGCCGAGCCCACCCTCAGTGTACCACGAACGGCAGCGACTAGAGCTGTGCGCCGTCCACGCTCTCAACAACGTCCTCCAACAGCGGCTCTTTAGCCAGGAGGCTGCAGACGAGATCTGCAAGAGGTGACAGCCACAGGTCCTGGCCCTGGAAGAGCAGGACTGAGAGGCAGGAGAGCCTGCTTGGGGCATTAGCATGGCCAGGGCTCAGATCCCAGAGCTGTCGCCTGCTCCTCCACGTGTCGCTTCTCACAGCCTGCCCCCAGCTGTCTGTGTTTCTCCTCCTGTCCATCCTATACACAGCCCCTCCTCTGCTTCTGTCCCTCTGTGGGTCCCCCGCACTCCTAGAGAATAGCCCAGACCCTTCAGCCTGAACCCCAAGGCTTTGGGTGCTCTAGCCCTTGCCTGCCTCTCTGCAGCTTCATCCTTCGTGGCTCTCTTTGGCCCCAAATGGCCCTGCTGTGGTGTCTCTGAACTTTTACACAGGCTGCTCCCCCGTTACCACAAGGTATTCTCTTTCTTAGTCACCTGGGTGCCCCTCAGAATTTCTACCATCACTTTAAGAAACTCTCTTCCTATTCCCACTTATACACCTCACGGTCCTTCTGCGGACACACAGACACCCCAGCCTGCAACGCATGCCCACGTGCAGAGGCAGCCCTTCTGTCTTCTCACTGCCACTCACCCAGCACCCTAAACTGTAGATTTGTGTTAGAAGACACCCATCTGTAGATTACTCTGTAAGACCCTCCTCTCCCCTGCAGCCAACTCTTTGATGCCGAGGGCCTGCTGAACAGCTAGAGCTGAGGCAGATGTGATGAAGAGAGGGGCTGGGGATACAGTCCTTCCGTGTCACTGCTCTCCGGAACAACAGGGCACATCTGGAAAGCGCTAGAGGGGAGACTTGGGCACAAGGGACAACTGGTGATAGGTAGCTGGCCATGCAAGGCCCACTTGCCACTGGAGGAGACGGGCACCAGGGAGAGCCGTGAACGAGCAGAGCAAGGCATTACCAAATGAAAGGCGCACTGTTCAGATCTGGTGACAGGAACGGCATTGTCATTCGGGGGCTCTGATGACCCCTCTCCCAGAAGAAAGGCTATCTGAAGCCAGTCTGGAAAGAGGCCATAATGAGAAGGGTGGATGGGAGGGCAGGGACTTTGTCATGAGAGGTGGGAGGAGGAGAGGGGCAAGGCAGCCCAAGGCTCCTGGAGGTGGGCTCGGGGGAGACTAGACACTTGGAAGGCTTCTGAGTGACAAAAGACAAAAGATCTATCCAGGCTGAGAGTACAGGTATTAGGGATGAGAGGGAAAACAGGACTTGGGGTCCGATAAGCTGTGCAGGGCTTGAAGAGAGAAAAGAGTCCGCGGTCAGGTTCTGGGTTTCTACTGTGTGGGAAGGTGGAGGCCTTTCCAGAATTTCCAACTTTGGCTCTGCTCCCCCTTCCCCCCAGGCTAGCCCCAGACTCCCGGCTGAACCCCCATCGCAGCCTCCTGGGCACCGGCAACTATGATGTCAACGTGATCATGGCTGCCCTGCAGGGCCTGGGCCTGGCCGCTGTGTGGTGGGACAGAAGGAGGTAGGACCTAGACTGTGGGCTGCACTGGCCCTGCGTTGGGGGATGAAGCAGAGGGTGGCTTGATAGTAGATAGGGGAGGTTCTTTCCAGGGGAGAACTGGTGGCGGTGGCATATGGGACTAACCGAATGACGGGCTAAACTGATAACTTGGTGCCAGTCAAAAGAGTGGTGTGAGGTCCACATGAGGAGCTTGTGGCTGAGGTGGGGAAAGACGGAAATTAGGTTACGAATAGTGAGACCAGCCTGTTGACCCAAGGCAAACCCAATGGAAGCCAGCCTGGGCTGCGCATGGAGACCCTGACTCAAAAGGGCAAACAACAAAAAGTTAAGGGGCTGGGGCTTCATTGATAGAGGCTTACCCAGCATGTACGAGGCTGGGGTTCCATCCCTAGCACCCCATGAATTGCTGTAGTGGGCACACCTGGGATGCCGAGACCCTGTCTAAACAAGGCCAAGGCTGGGCTCTGCAGGTAGGAAGTAACGGATGGGTGGGTGGATGGGTGGCCATTCTGGGAGAGGAAGCAGGATCCAAGGGCCTCTGGGGCTCCATGCTGTGTCCCTCCCCTCCCCAGACCACTGTGCCAGCTGGCCCTCCCCAAGGTGCTAGGCCTGATCCTGAACCTGCCCTCTCCTGTGTCTCTGGGGCTGCTGTCCCTGCCTCTGCGCCGCCGGCACTGGGTGGCCCTGCGCCAGGTGAATGGCGTCTACTATAACCTGGACTCCAAGCTTCGGGCACCTGAAGCCCTGGGGGACGAGGATGGTGTCAGGTGAGCGGTGAAGGAAGTGGCCGGTTGAGACCAGTACTGGAACTCCCCTGCTAGGAGATGGGCCTGCCTGCACTGTCCAGATCTGTCTCCCCTGTCTCCCTTCAGGGCCTTCCTGGCAGCTGCCCTGGCCCAGGGCCTGTGCGAGGTGCTACTGGTGGTGACCAAGGAGGTGGAGGAGGCCGGCTGCTGGCTGAACACAAGCTGACCCAGTACCTGTGACCAGCTGCCTGCTACCACGGTCCTGAGTGTCCAGTGCCTAGGAGGGGCTTGCACCCTGACCCAAAGTCCTCACTCCCCCACCATCGCTGCTGCCTCAATAAATCTGCTTTTTTGTTATCTATGCTTGAGCTACAGGGGACTTGAGCTACAGTGCCCAGAGGGAGACAGAAACTAGAGACCGACATGTCGCCTCCCAAAATCAGTAGGGAGACATATGATGGAGCAGGGATCACTCCTCTTTAAGGTTTAGAACATCAGTGAGGAAGTAGTTCCCAAAGATGACCCTGGACCCTGACTTCCCAGGTGGGGGGGGGCGGGGGGGACGCTGGGCAGTAGATAGGACTGGTTATAACCAGCCTCCATCAGGAACAACGACTTGAAGGGTGACCGAGTGAAGTCACATGGTCCTAAAAAGCAGGAGGGCAGCCCAGTGGAGCCCATTTAGAATTTCTGACCCCCTCCCCCCACAGGGGGAGCCAGCATGAGCTGTGGAAGCTGTGACTAGGGCTTGGGGAGGGGGCTCCTCACTGCAACCTCAGGAAAGTGCCACGGCAGCTGCCATTTTCCCACAGTGTGCTGGGCTGCCTGAAAAGGTCTGGTTGGCTCAGCCCTGAAGGAGGTGAGGGACAGACTGAAGCAGAAGAGGGGTGTCTCCATCGCAGTCACCCAAGCCGACCTTCTCAAGAGGCCGCGACACTTGGAGGGCCCCAGATGGCCCAGAGTGCCACGGCCTGCACCAGTTATTTGGGGAGGTGTTGACAGACAGGCCTATCTGGGACAGAGGGGAAGAGGGCTGGAGCCAGCAGGAGGGCCCAGATAGGAGCATCCAGAAAAAGCAGTGGAGGTGATGGCATGAGCCCCCGGGGGGGGGGGGGCAGGACCTGGCCCTGAGCCCTGGGGCATGCAGGAAACAAAGGGGGAGATTTTCCTCCGCTGATGGGACAGGGACCTAGGATATTGATTACTGGTGCACACTGGGGTATGACAGCCATTCTTGGTAATGAATTAATCTGGGGATGAAGGCCACATCCTGACACCATGCTAGTAAAAAGCAGAGGCTCAAGCTGCTGCTATCTGGTCCCCAAGATTTCTGAGGTCAAAGGGCAAGTTGTAAAGTAAAAACCAAGGCAGCATGTGGAAGACACATACTGGGTTGCTGGAGTACCCCACCCTGGAGCCTAGCACCCTTGGCCCCTGGCCTCTGTCTTCTCCAACCTCCTATCCCCTCCCTGGGTCTCCTCTCTGTCTGTCCTTCTCCATGTGTCCAAGTTAACACTTCCACCACCACCCCCATGTATGTGTGTGCGTGCGTGTGTGTGCACCCTTTCCCCATTTTTGAGACACTTGCCATGATCCTCCTGTCTCAGCCACCAAGTACTGGAATAAGTGTGTGCCAGCACCCCGCACTTCCCCATCTCTTTCCATGGCTCTGAAGTTTCTCTGGATCTCTGGGCCTCTTAACCTTCTCTCTGCCTCTATCTCCCTCTTTCCTGTCCACCCCCGCCCCCGCCCCACCTGTCGCCTGCCTGTCCAGTCCCGGGTAGGGGACAGCTGCCAGGACTCCCTGGGTGTTTCTATTCTCGGCCTGAGTGGTGCAGCCTGTGACATCCCAGGTGCCCCCTCAGCTGTGACCAAATAAGGTATTAAATGAGGAGCCTGTGGAGGAAAGGGTGCAGACCTGCCCACCGATTCAATGCCTCCTGTTTGCCCTTAGTGCTGACTTGGTGCCCCACTGACACCCCACTTCTGAGGAGAGCACCCTTGGCCCTAATATGCCTCATCAGGCCTGTTCTGAAGCTGGTGGTTCACTGATACCCATGGACATGGGGCTCCATGCTGACCTCCAGGGGCCTGAGGAACAGGCTATAGAAAGGGGGGGTGGTACTCCAGCTGCCCTTACAGCTGCTCCTGGCTGTGCTGACAGCTGAGGCTCAATTTAGCTGCAAGGCCAGGGTCTGGCCAGATAAGGTGTGGATAAGGACAGGACACGCCCCTATGGTGCCCCTTAAATTGCAGGGCTTGGGCTGGGGTTGAGGGCGCAGACACCAAGGCCAGGTGAGAGGGTCCTGCTGCCGTGGTGGCCCACAAGGCACCCGGTGTCTCTCCACCTGTCCGCTTGCCTCTTCTGACTCGGTTCCTTCTACCTTCCACAGCCTCCATCCTCTCTCTCCTTCTGTGCCTCTCTCGCCTGTTTCTTCATCTCTGCCCCCCAACATTTCATTTGTCTCTGTTTTTCTCTGCCTCCATTTCTGTATCTGATTTCCCTGTGTTCTCCTTCTGCCTGTGTTTCTCCAGCTGTCTCTCTGATTTCCTCTCCTTTCATCTCTGCCTCTCAGCCCAATATTCCATCTTTCACATTTCCTCAATGTGTCTGTTTCTCTCTTGACCTGATTCCCTTCTCTGTCTCTTTTCATAACTGTCTGTCTCTCATCTTTCCCTTTCTCTGCCTCTCTCCATCTCTCCGTCTCTCTGCCTCTCTCCATCTCTCCGTCTCTCTGCCTCCATTTCTGTATCTGATTTCCCTGTGTTCTTCTGCCTGTGTTTCTCCATCTGTCTCTCTGCCTCTCTCTTTCTCTCTGTCTCTCCCCATCTCTCCATCTCTCTGCCTCTCTCCATCTCTCCGTCTCTCTGTCTCTCTCCAACTTTCCGTCTCTCTGCCTCTCTCTAATTCTCCATCTCTGTCTCTGCCTACTTGTTCCCCAAGCCCTTCCTTCCCATCTTCTATTTTCAGGTCTCTTCCCCCCTCTCCGCTGGGGCCGAAGCCCTGTGTTCTCTCCTGAATAAAGCTGGCTCTGTCCTGGCTCCCCCTTCTCTGCCTCCGTCTGTCCTTACCCCTCTGCCCCCACCCACGCCCAGCCCAGATCCTGAGTGAGGGTCTCAGTACCGGCAGTAGGGTCATCCCTCCTGCCCACACAACAGGAGAGAAGGGTGGAGAGCAGGGACTCAAGACCAGAGAGGCAGGGAGGATGGTCAGCACAGATGGGGGACAGTGGGTCATGGGACGCAGAGGCCAGGCAGCACCCCACACCCAGCAGACCGGTCTCCCCTCCCCCTCAGACCAGGCTGTGCCAGGGCCAGGACAATGCACCCTTGTCTCCTGTCCTGACAGCTGGGGGTTCCTGTCTCCAGCTCCTTCAGAGAAGTCAGCGGCTTTCAGCTCCGCCCTAGGCGGGGGAGTGGCCCTGAGGACCAGGCTTGTGGGGGCATCTGCTGTCTCCAGCCTCCTGTCTCTGCCTGAGCTCCAGAGTCCTTCTGGTCACCCTGGTGTTTGTTCACCCTTTCCACCCTCTGCTGTCCCCTCCACTGTCTCCTTTCTCACCGTCCAGTTTGCCTGGCCCCTCCCCACTAGGAATCTTGTGAGCTCCTGCTGTGTATGAGGCCCCAGACTCTGGTCTCCTTCCCTCCTGTACCCCACCCTTTGTTGTCTCTTATTGGCCTCCTCCATTTCTGCGTTCCTGGGAGAAGGAATGAACACACTTTGAACCCCTATTGTCACTAGCCCTCTCTTACCTCGGCACTCTCCCCTCCCCCGCTCCCTTCCCTCTGTTTTCTCTACTGTTCAAGACAAAGAATACATTTATTGAATACTACTATATCCTTCTCTCCTGTCCTTCACTCCCCACTGACAACGGTGTCTGCCAGCCTCTGCTTCCTGCTTCTCTCCGCCCGGGGAATGCAGACATTTACTGGGCACCAGCAGTGTGCTAAGCTTTTAATAAACACTTCCTTCCTTTTCCCTTCCTCCGCCTGTCATTTGCTGCCTGCTGACTCCCCTATTCCAGGAAAGGGCGCTAATTGAGCACATGTGACAAGCCGTCCACACCTATGACTCTCTTGGCACTCTCTCTCCTCCTCTGCAGAGAAAGCTGCAACTACTCCAGGCAGAGGGGTGGGGTGCCCTTTGAGAGTACAGCTAGGGTAGAAGGGGCCAGCATGCTTCAGGTGCTAAGGCAGGGACAAGCACTCACATTCAGGAACAAATGAGGAAACTAAGGCTGTTGGAAAGAGGGTGTGCCCCCTACAGCTGGCCTGGGTCCCCACCCAATGTGATTCTCATTCTGTCTCTATCATGGTCACATGCCATCTTCCTTTGACCTCTTGCCATCTCTGCCCACATGGTATGGCTGCACACACAATGCAGTACCTGAGGCTGGGGTTCTCCTGTCTCACCCAACTCTGGCACTGAAGCCTCCTCCCAGGCCAGCCATCTGTTTCCTGCTCTCCTCCCCTTCCTCCATGCCTTCCTTCTCTCTCTCCTTCTTTTCCTCCTCCAACTTCTTCCTCTCTTCTCCGTCTCCAGCTCTTTCTTCTTCCTCTCCATTTCCTTCTCCACCTGTACCTCCATCTCCTTTCCTTCCTCCTCCTCTTCCATATCCTCTGCCGCCTTTTCTCCTCCATTTCCTCCTGCCCCTGTCCTGTCTTTCTCCATATTCTTCTGCTTCTCCTTTTTCTCCTACATCTTCTCTTCCTGCATCTCCTCCTCCATCTCATCTCTCCCTCTCTCCATTTTCTCATGCCCCTTCCTTTCTTCTTCCCTGATGCTTCTCCTACTCCACCCCTTCTCCTCCTCTTCCTCCTTTATCTCTTCTTCCTCCACCTCCAGCACCTACTCCTTCATCTACTTTCCTCCTACTCCTCTTCCTGCTCCATCTCCTCCTCTTCCAGTCTTCTGATGTTCCTCATCCCTTTGTCTTCCCCCTCCTCTTCCTGCTACTCCATCTTTCACTTCCTCCTTCTCCACTTCTTCTCTGTCTCTTCCTCTATCTTCTCCTCTTCCTCGTTCCCTTTTATCTCCTCCTTCTTCTTCTTCTCCATTTCCTTCTTCTACTCATCCCAATCTTCCATCTCCTCTTCCTGCTCCATCTCCTCCTCTTCCTAGTCTTCTTCCTGTATCTCTTCTGGTCCTCTTCTTCCTCCTATCTCCTGCTCCTTCTCCATCACCTCCCTTATTCCTCTCCCTCCTCCATCTCCTCTTCTCTGTTTCCTCACTTTATCCTCCTCTTTCTACAGCTACTCCTCATTTTTCCTTTTCTCCTACATATTTTCTTATCCATCTCATCTTCTCCTTCACCGCCTCATCTTCACCTACTCCCTTCTTTCTCCTCATCCTCCATCTCTCTC